TAAGCTCACCAGCTACTCCTTGGAAACCCTATACAGGGTCGCTATGGGTGGGAACCAACTCGATGGCACTTCACAACAACAACAACATGCTTTAAAGTTCTCGGCAATCATTAGAGCCAGCAACATTCTATCTAGACTACAGAGTTTTAATTGTTACACTTAGCAGTTTAACCTCCATAACCAGGCCATATATAACATCAGGATTTACTGAGTAAATACTAGCTACATGGCACTGTTATAAGCACTGAAGTGCTTCAAAGGAGAGATTAGACACAGTCCCCTGACAGCTAGTTTCTGAGATCAAACTAGGAAGTTCAGGCAACTAAACAATGAGATCAATAGAGACGTAAGGGAAGGGTCAACTAGAACTATGCCTAATAATTTTTACAATAGACATTTGTTGTTGTTGTTGTTGTTAGGTGCCACCGAGTCCATACCGACCTATAGCGACCTTTTATGCACAGCATCTTGGCCTCTAAGGAGCACTCTGGCTGCACTTCTTCCAAAATGGGTCTAATGGTTCTTTTGGCAGTCCATGGCACTTTCAATATTCTCCTCCAACACCATAACTCAAAGGCATCAATTCTTCCATGGCCTTCCTTATTCACTGTCCAGCTTTCGCACGCATACGAGGTTATTGAAAATAACATGGCTTGGGTCAGGCGCACTTTAGTCCTCAAGCTGACATCTTTGCTCTTCAGCACTTTAAAAAGGTCTTGTGCAGCAGATTTGCCCAATGCAATACATCGTCTGATCTCTTGACTGCTGCTTTTGTGAGTGTTGATAGTTGATCCAAGAAGAATGAAGTCCTTGACAACTTCAATCAAATTTGAAAGGACAATCTTTTATTATTTTTTCTATGTGCTTCTACACTGTGTTCACATTTCTCACACCCTAACAAAATACCTCATAGTGGATGGTTTATAAGAATAGAAATTTGTTTCTAGTCTCACAATTCTAGAAGCTAGAAAGCAGGGTGTCAACAGGGCCATTCACGCTGTGTAGATCCTAGGAGATGATGCTTCCGTGCCTTGTTCAGCTTCTGGTAGCCCCCAAGCATCAGAATTTATCTTTCCTACACTTGGATCTCTCTGTCTTTTCTCCTCTTGTATAAGGCACTCTTCATATTGTGTTAGGACTCACACTAACTGAGTATAACCTCATGTTGCTTTACCAGATGACATGTCCAAAGGCCCTCCCTGTTTCCAAAACAAGGTCATGTTCAAAGGTATCAAGGGATAAGGTTTTCATTTTTGCTTTAAATTTTAGTATCCCATGTTCATTACCATCACCTGTCTGTCAGTTTGTTGTACTGTGGTGGATTGCATGTTGCTGTGATGCTGGAAACTATGCCACTGGCATTTCAAATGCTGATAGGTTTCAACTAAGCTTCCAGACTAAGCTAGACTCAGAGGGAGAGACAGACTTCTTCCGAATGTTTAGGCACTGAAAGCCTTATGAATTGCCGTGAAACAGTCAGATGGCACCAGAATACTGAATATTGAAACATGATTTTAAAAAACACCAGAATATTGTCAAATACAGTGCTGGAAGATGAGCCCCTCAGGTTGGAAGACACTCAAAATACAACTGGGGAAGAGATGCCTCCTCAAAGTAAACTTGACCATGATGACATGAACGGAGTTAATCTTTCCCGACCTGACCTTCATTTGCTGATGGGGCACAACTCAAAATGAGAAGACACAGCTGCAAACATCCATTAATAATTGGCACATGGAATGTACAAAGTATGAATCTAGGAAAATTAGAAGTTGTCTAAAATGAAATGCAATGCATAAAGATCGATATCCTAGACTTTAGTGAGCTGAAATGGATTGGTATTGGCCATTCTGAATCTGAAAATCTCATGATTTACTCTGCCAGGAATGATACATTGAAGAGGAATGGCATCACATTCATCATCAAAAAGAATGTTTCAAGATCTATGTTCAGTGGTAACTGCGCACCATCCAGTTCTCCTGACCTCATAGAACGTTGTTAGTACCGACTCATAGCGACCCTATGTACAACAGAACGAAACACTGCTCAGTCCTGGGCCAACCTCACAATTGTTGCCACACTTGAGCGCATTGATGCTGCCACTTTGCCAATCCATCTCACTGGGGGTCTTCCTCTATTTCTCTGACCCTCCACCTTACCAAACATGATATCCTTCTCCAGTGACTGGTCCCTCCTGACAATATGTCTGAAGTATAAGAGACAAAATTTGACCATCCTGGCCTCCAAGGAGCACTCTGGCTGCATTTCTTCCAACACAGATGGAAGAAATTGCCTAGTCAATAAAGCACAGGTAAACATCTTTCTGGTCTTCTCTGCTTTCAGCCAAGATCCATCTGATGTCAGCAATGATATCCCTCATTCCCTGTCCTCACCTGAATCTGGCTTGAACCTCTCGAAGTTCCCTGTCAATATACTTTTGTAACTGTTTTTGACTTATCTTTAACAAAATTTTACTTGCATGGGATATTAATGATATTGACCAGTGATTTCCACATTCCATTGTGTCACCTCTCTTTGGAATAGGCACAAATATGGATCTTTTCTAATCAGTTGGTCAGGCATTATAATCTATCAATATTGCAAGTCAAGGCTTGAATTTTTTCAATTTTTTCTGTTTGAGAAATGTCAAGCATGTTCTTTATAAAGTATTATAATAAAACGTGCAAAGATATAGGTATGGTTTTGCATATTTTTACATACATGTTTGTGAGGGCTTCATGTATGAGAATGAGTCAAAAATTATCGCTACAAAAATCCCAAAAAGCTTTATTAAGCAAAAATACCAAAATGTGAAGCTATTATTTCTCAACATTATCTTTCATCTATGTCCATACACTTCTGAAAGCAGTGTTTTCATTTTTCTAACCTTTTCCCCCAATGAATTCTGGGCTCTTCAGTTTTCACCACATCAGAGCAACAGTTTTGGCACCCTTAAGGGACTCTAACTATGTTCGTTTCACTCATTCTTTGAGTTTAAGGAACAAAAGGAAGGCTGAAGAAACACACAATCAGGGCCTTGGGGTGGATGGGGTAAGATTTCCTGATGCAGTTCTCGTAGGGCAGTCCTTGCTACCCTTGTAGATTGAGCAGGTGCATTGTCGTGATGGAGAATGACTCCTCGGTGTAACGCTGCAGGCTTTTCCTCACCATTGAGGTTTTCAGTGTGCTTAACATTTATTCATAGTAAGCCCCCCACGATCATCCTGTGTCCTTCACGACAATCTATCAAGATTACACCTTGGCAATCCCAAGAAAACAGTCTCCATGGCCTTCTGAGCTGACCTCTCTTCCTTGAATTTAACTTGCCCAGTAGATCTCCTCAGAAACCACATTCTGATTGGACCTTTGAAAAAAAAAGAAATCAGAAAGAGACCAACAAGTTTATGATGGGGCTTCAAAACATTCATGGAAAAAAAATGGAATGAAAAGATAGTGGGATTTTCCCTACAACTTCTGGAAGCCCCCTCATATTACTGGAGAACTTGACTGCAACCATCCACTAATCACAGACTCATGTCTAGACATGTTTCACTTGAAATAAAAATAAAGCAAGTACTCACCCTTATATAATCGAATGCACCGCAAACACAGTTATGGAAACTTCTTAGACATAATCAACCACTTCGTGAGACTGAGCTACTGGACTTGAAGGCTACGGGAAACATCTACGTCAATTTACATATCATGGATGATAAAGATAATGTTCTACATCCTACTTTTGTGAATAGCATCTGGGGTCTTAGACGCTTCCCATCTGGAGCAAAGAAGAATGAAGAAAACTTAAGACTCAAGAAAGCAATTAGTCCAAAGGACTGATGGCCCACAAGGCCACAACCTTCTCTAACGTGAGACCAGAACTATATGGTACTCAGCTACCAATATTGACATTCCAACCAGGAACATAACAGATGGTTTTAGTTAAAGTGAGTGGAATGTGCATAACAAAATTCAAATTATGAATTATAAGAAAAACCAAAATCATTAGAGGAACCAACAAGCTTATTGATGGAAGATAACCTTGTAACTTGGAACTGAAGCCACCCCCAGAGACCACCATCCAGTCAAATAATAGATTGGCATATAAAATCAACAAAAACACCTGGAAAGAATGTGTTCCTTAGAAAAAATCAACGGAAAGAGATCAAGAAAAGCAACGTGTGCTCAAAAGCAAAGATGAGAAGGTAACGAGGGTCAGGTGACCTTGACAAATAGAAGTGGGAGCCCAGGTTGGAAACAGGGTGAATGCTGACACATTTCCGGGATCATAACCAATGTCACAGAACAGTTTGTGTATAAACTACTTAATGGAAACCTGATTTGCTTCGTACACTGTGTTTTAGGTGAAACATGGCACACAGTTCTACTCTGACATACATAGGTTTACCAGGAGTTAGAGTCGACCCAACAGCAGCCAATAGCCACGTATGTCGTTGCTGTTGTTAAGTGCCATCAAGTCAATTCCAACTCATAGCAACCCTGTATGGGTTTCCAAGGAGTGGCTAGTGAGTTTGAACTGCCGACCTTATGGTTCAAAATGACTTGCGGTCCAGTGCTTATCCTACAGGGCCACATCAGGACTCTAGTAACATGTATGTTGTTGTTGTTGTTAAGTGCCATCAAGTCGGTTCCAACCCACAGCAATCCTGGATAGGGTTTCCGAGGAGCGGCTGGTGAGCTTGAACCGCCAACCTTGCAGTTCAAATGGCTTTGCAGTCTGGCGCATTAACCCACAGTGCCACACCAGGACTCATGTATACCACCACCCAAATAACAGTATTAAACAAGTTGATGTGAGAACTCTATGAACAGCTTGAAGATTAGATAAACTTTAACTGAAATGTAACGTATGTACATGACCATTAAAAGGGTCCCATTTTTGAAAGGAGAAGAACTGGCCAATGGGTTTTCTGATTATTCAAGATTCTCTCAGCCTTCTAGATAAAGTGGAATAAAAGTCAAGTAAGGCTGCTAAGCAAAGCGTCTACCACAGTTCTGTCTTATACTTGACTTGCTTGCCTACTTCTGTCTCTCCTATGCTTCCTACTCAACTGTTCTCCCATGTGCTGCACCTGATGCTGCGGGAGAAATTGGTAGATATTTCCTCAGTCAAACAAGGGGCTCTGGTAGCGTAGTGGTTACGAATCGGGCTGTGATCCTTAAGGTCAGTGGTTCGAACTACCAGCTGTTCCACAGTAGAAAGATGAGGCTTTCTGCTCCTGTAAAGATTTACAGCCTCAGAAACCCTGTACAGGGATCGCTATGAGTCGGAACAAACTCCACGACACATAACCACCATACCAACATTTAGTGCACAGCTGGAATACCCAAGGATCAGCCAGGTAAACAGAGCAACTAAGGTCTATCAGCACCTTCAATAAAATCAAACAACTGGCCAAAATCTTAGAGACTAGAAGATTTGCTGGGATTCCTTCTTTGAAAATGTTCTTCACGCATTTGATAATCACCATCTAACCATTCACTAATCCCTAGCCTGCATAAATCTGGTTTTGGATTCTTGGTACACTTAGTTACAATATCATAAGGATATTTCACTACTATCACCCATGTCCACAAGCCAAAATATCAGAGCAGGTAACATAGGATTAATAGATATGTGGCCAAAGAAGCCAGAAATGGTGCTGAAGACCTTCAGGATTTGGAGAGGCTTTAAATGTGATTAAACCTCACATTTTACCAACAACAAAAAAAGATGTGGCCTACAGAAAGGAGGCTGTACATATCTTATGAAGCAAAAGCAGAGTTTGGTTTTGATTAATTATGTGCAAATTAATAAATGGAATGATCAAACTAAATGTAGGGAAACTAGGTCACCCCAGACCGAGACCATATAGACCAAACTTGATTATTATTAAGTGTCGTGGAGTAAGCTTCAATTCATAATAACCCTGTATAGAGTTCCCAAGCAGCTGGTGGGTTTGAACTGTCAACCTTGTGGGTAGCAATCCAGTACTTATCCTATAGAGCTACAGCAGGACTCCAAACATAATAATAGATCATATATAAACCAAAATACACACATTTATTTAGTAAGGAGTTTCCTTTTGCTTCCATAGAACTTTTTTTTTTTTCCATTTGAGAGACCAGTTTCTCTTTTCCATGATGAGTAACAGAACAGAGCTCAAGTCTGTAAATAAATAAAATACTCATATAGTTTCACAACTGAAGTAGATGTTACATCTGTACCCATTCTGAATAACCTGAACAGAGTGAGTTTTGAGTTTTCAAAAGCCAGTCCCGTCTTTTCCTTCTACCTGTCTCAGATATGCTTGGGTTAGCCTATATAACATCTGAATAACTGTAAAGCTTGTATGGCAGGCATACTGAACTGTGCCAACAGTGTGGCACTGCTTACCTGAAACGGGTCATAATGGTAGACATATGTCTCCATGGTGACCCCTCTGACTCATGAGATCAGAATTGTGGGATTAATGACACCCTGTGCCTGGAGCTGCCACAGTGCTGAGAACAGCTTTGACTACTGTAAGTAATCCCCAAAGCTCAGATCCAGGTGACCATAAATTCAGAACTTAGTCTCTCCCAAGGAATGAAGTAGAGTGAAACTGGATGGGAGTCTTCCTGTGGGAGATCCAGGTGACTCCTTAAACTCTTTGACCTCCTGGAGTCACCAGAGCGGTGCCTGAGAGGAAGGGAAGGCTAGGAATTGGGACCTGCTGACAGAAACCAAGATTCAAAGGATGAGAGTTCCATGCCTGCCCGTTGTTTCTGGGTATTTTTCTATAAAATAGCTGGTGACTGTCTCTATACTTGAGAAAGCATCAGAATTAGAGTTGTCTACGAATACAGAGAACATCTCTACTAGTACAGTGGTTACACATCTCTACTAGTACAGTGGTTACAGTTAGGGCTGCTAATCTCACGGTCAGCAGTTCAAAACTACCAGAGGGTCTGTAGAAGAAACACGAGGCTTTCTGCTCCCTTAAAGATTTACAGCTTCAGAAACAATAGACAGTATCACTGTGAGATCTTCTTAAGGAGCTCTGGTAGCGTAGTGGTTACGGATTGGGTTGCTAACTTCAGGGTCATCAGTTTGAAACTACCAGCTGTTCCGCAGGAGAAAGATGAGGCTTTCTGCTCCTATAAAGATTTACAGCCTCAGAAACCCTATACAGGGTGCTAAGAGTCAGAACTGGCTCCACAACACATAACAACCAACCCCCATGAATATAGACTCTTGTCCTCGGTACCTCTGTAGACATCCTGAGCAGTCAGAAACGAGTTTTTATTCCATTTAGGTGGTTCCAGGGGAGAAACCTTTCCAGGATCCATGTATGGACACAGCTGATCTCCCTGATCAGGATCCTTTCAGCACCCAAGTAAGACTAACATCATCAGCTACACTATTGTTCTGTCTCTGAGCTTTACTATTTGTGTTCTTTCTCCTTGATAACAAGAGGCTCCTACCGGGTTCTTTACAATTACTTTTGTTTCTTGATCATTTCACCTTCTATTCACCAATAAACCGAAATCCCATCCACCAGGATTTCCCACCCTGCTTCCCGTAGGAACAGTATTGAAAAGCCATCTGCCTCTCATGTCTTCAAGTGTTCTGCTTAGAACCCTTGGAGTGCCCATAGCATTGTATCTGTGTCCTCTCGGAAGCATGGGGAACATATTATGTTAGTTTTCAGAGACCACTAGTCAAATAAATGATTGAAGACCTCATTCATTCTCATTGTGGGAATACTAACCAGTGAAAAGACTGCTTATTTAGTGAGGATTAGAACTGCCACTTCTGTAATTCAACTCCTAACTAGGTATAAAAAATGTTTAAATGTCATCTTATGAAGAAAATTATTAAATACAGTAGTATCTACTGGTTAACATTCAACTACTAACTTAAGGGTTGACAGTTTGAACCCAGGTGTGAAGCTGTAGGATCAGCACTGGACTTCGAACCATAAGGTCGGCAGTTCAAACCCACCAGTGGCTCCTCGGAAACCTATACAGGGTCGCTGTGAGAACCAATTTGATGGCACTTAACAACAACAACAGCAACAGCAACAGTAGCACCACCAAACAAAGGACTGGTGATCTTGCAGAAAGAACTCAGCCAAGAAAACGCAATGGAATTCAGGTCTACTCTGTAACACAAGGGGTCGACACAAGTTCGAACAGACTCAATGGCAGCTCGTTTGGTTTGGTATAACACATAAAGGGGTTTCCAACCAAGTTAGTGGAAAATGGAATTTAAAGATAATAAAAATGTCCATGAACTTTTTGACACCCCCACATATATGTATTTTTTGATAACTCCAGTAGTGAGACAGTGATACATGAAGCACTGTGTTAGGATTCCAGAAGAGTTAAACCTGGAACACAGTTACAAATTCCCAAATGAAAACTAATCAAGTGGCCAAACAATGGTCATTGTCCACAGGAAATATACTCCGTGCTACTCTGAGTCTATTTCTACTCTATACCTTTCTGCTCTGGTCCTAATGGACTTGGTTATCTGGTTTACAAAGCACACAACAGATTAGTCACAGCAAATCAGATGATGGGAGCAACTGACAGAGACAGATTTCATTTTATGTTGGCAGCTACTATAAGAGACAGCTGACTGACAGGGAGAATGGAAGAGAAAGAGAAAGAACCAGAAGCTCTAAAAAGAAAGCAGAGATAATATGACCTCAAATCCCAGTGATTCTGAGCAATGCTGTTTAACAAGCAATCCCATTTGGCTCTGAAGTCATCCCTGTATAGCAGCAGCACAATGAAGTAACTGACTTAATAATCCTCCAACATTGGAGCTGGAAAGATACCCTAGGGACTGAGTCCCATACTCCTAACTTACAAATGAAGGCATTAAGAATTAAGTTCAGAATCACAGCCGGTTTGTGGTAAAGCTACAAGATCCTGTTCTTATCCTAGAAAATCAACCACAGAAAGAGGAAAAGAAATCAATGTTTTAAATGGCTATGAAAGATTTAGTGAATGACTCTAAACTTTTCATGGAAAAACAGGTTAAATGTTTTTAATACTAATCTTCAAAATATCTGCTTGTCCAGAAAATTAATTTTCAAGAAGCAATACATTCTTGGATGCAAAATGTCACCTCTTTAGACTATCCTATTAAAACCAGTATGCGTCTCACTTCCTATCTCCTTAAAGAAAAACCAGTTGGCATTGAGTTAATTCCAACTCATGGCCGCCCCATAGATGTCAGAACAGAACCGTGCTCCATGGGGCTTTTGGTGGCTGAGTTTTTGGAAGTAGATCACCAGGATTTTCTTGAAGTGAACCTCTGAGTAGTCTTGAATCACCAGCCTTTCAGTTAGTAGCTGGAAGGTTGGTTAACTGTAAACATACCATGGACTCCACCCTCCCTCCCTCCCTGACACAATATGCTTTATGACCTATCACCATTTGGAATTTAACAAATATATAGACGCAGATATGCAGATATAATTATACACACACACACATATATATATATTGATGTTTATATCTTCCCTATAAAGTATCTTCTAAAGTTAACAGCTTAAGGGAATTTCCTTCTTCTTCTGTTTTTTTTTTTTTTTTAAGAATAGTCCTCTTCTTTCTCTGTAAAAAGTTAGTCATTAATCTCATAACCACTAATATGAGATTAATAGTTGTCACATGACTAGACTATCTGCTAGAGGAATCGCTGTACAATGAGTCTAACCAGCCTAAATAATAATACAATGAGGTCCCTTTATAATGAAATTGCTTACGTACAAATACCAATACTCCAATTTCAATCTACTTGCATTCTATCAAAATTTATTATATGTAGCTGTGTTTTCAGACAAAATATTTGACCTAGGGCATAACTGAATTGATGTAACATAGTTTTTATAGCATGGTTCCAAATGTTACATGATTAGAAATATTTACATGGTTGTTGTTGTTGTTAAGTGCTGTTGAGTCCGTTCTGACTCAAAGCGACCTTGTATAGGATTTCTGAGGAGCAGCTGGTAGGTTTGAACTGCCAACCTTGTGGTTCACAATCCAGTGCTGACCCTATAACACTATACCAGGAGTCCACTTACATGGTTGTTGTTGTTGAGTGCCATCAAGTCAGTTCTGACTCATAGTGACCCTGCATAGGGTTGTCAAGGAGTAGCTAGTGAACTTGAACTGCCAACCTTGCGGTTCAAACCAACTTTGCAGTCCCTCGTATTAACCCATAGATAGGGCTTAAAACATATTCTTTGGTTTCACACTCTCCATGTTTTCTAGAAGCATGTTGCTGCTGCTGCTATGTTTCACTGAGTCAGTTCTAACTCACACCAGCTCTATATAGAGTTTCTGAGAGTGGCTGGTGGGTTTGAACTGCAAACCTTGTAGTTAGCAGTCCAATGCTTACCCTACAGAGCTACCCAGGGCTCTTTGAAAGCATATTATATCTTAATAATGAAAAACTTAAACAGAACTCATTAGATACAAGCTAAGTTTGAGAGGGCAAGAGGGTGGGGTTTACAGCTTAGTATTTGTTTGATCTGATTTCTTTAAATGCTTACTTTAATACCATATTGTTAGAGAAATGTTTCCAAGTGAAAAGTGGAAATATAAATTGATGATAGTGGATTCAAATGGTTAAATAAAACTGAGAGAACAGAGTTAATCCCTTAGCAGCAAGTAAATGGTACCACTCCTAGATTTAAAAAGAAAATAAGTACAACCCCCTTAAACTAGGAAGATTTTGTGTACTTGACTTTTCCTCGTACATGTCTATTTGTTTAACTAACTTACACTCTTTAGCAGATTTCTAAGAATTAAAAAACAAAAAAGTATAAAAACTAACTTGCCAGAAGGGGAAGGGGATGGAAGAACAAAGGAGATAGAGGAACACTGAGACAGGTTTGCATGAACTAAATGGTACAGAGGTAAATAGTGATGCATGCTCAACCTTGGAACAACAGGACTCTGTGATACAGGGATCTAGGCATAGTTTGAGAGGGGAAATATACTAAGATGCTTGACTGTCTTATGAATATTGGTTTCTCTTGCCTACTATTGTAAAATGGACACTTTGAGGTGGATAGAAAGGAATGTTGGGAAACATGATTACAGAAAGCTTATAAGCCTGTCTTCAGTTTATAACTGATTGGAATACTTAAAAGGGATTCTACAACTTGCCCAGTGCAATAGGTGTCTTGCAGACCCTTTGCAGTGTATAGAAACTTAGGTGGAAACCTGAGCCCCATCCAGAACCTTCTGAGGTGGGACATTCCCACAACAAGGACAAGCAGACCTGGAACAGCTAGAGTGACAGAAGATATATCTTCAGAGAAAAATCATCAGGAAAAAAACAAAACAAAAATGGCAGTATGACTGACTACTACAAGAATAAGCAAGCTGTTCACCAGGAAACCATCAAGGCAATCAAGTTCCTTCAGGACAAGCGCCCCCCCCCACACACACACACACACACACACAAAAGGGAACACATGAGCAGGCATGTAAGCTTGCTGGCGACCACATTGGTCTACTGGTGA